TGGTGGTGTATCACAGCAATTTTACGGAGAGGATGCTAAGACCACTGAACATTTCTGGAAGGTTTGGCTGTTGGATCTCTGTGGTGGTTCTAGACTCTGGGGTGGTATCATATCTTGGCAACACTGACTCCATTACCAAATGTATCCCCCAAGACACCATCTGTGTATGGCTCTGGCTTCTGTGCTGCCTTTTTTTTTTTTTTTTTTTTCAGGGAAAGAGTGTTCTGATCAGCTACTGTCTTATGCTGGATGGATAGTCTGATGGGTGCATTTCTCATGATAAACTAGGAAATTGACATTCTGGCTCCTGTGAGAGCATTTAAGGTGAATCTTTCCCAAGAAGCAGATCACCCCTAGAAAGGCTGGCAAAGTGGAACTTCAGGACTGCCAAGCCAAGGACCTGACCCTGGTTCTCACCCAGCAACTGGCTCTTAATCTGCTGTAAAAAGAGTATAAATGCCATAGTGAGGCCTAATAAGAAGCCACAGCATCTCTAATCTGCCATGGTTATAAACTGCATTTTTAATCACTGCACCATTTTGCCTCCGTTTTCCTTATATTCACATATTTTGGTGATCTAAAGTCTGTTTCTTTCGTACACATTTCCATATTTTTCCTTATGTGTCCTATATGGTAAATTTATGTCCAGGTGCAAGTCATTAATATTTTAGAATAAAATATCTATAGAAGAGGAAGAATGTTGAATACTGGGTATCCATTTTCTATAAACACTGTATTACTACCGCACAATGAAAATTTTAACCCCTACTTTAGTTCTGAGCTGGAATTAATACTCTAAGTAGAGACAGTTGCCTTAAAATGTCCTGAAAAGAGAGGAGAGGCATCCTTCCCATACCGGATGCTTCCTATCTGGTGCATTTCCAGTGGGAATACACAAAAGGTTTTTATGAGCCAGGCTGCATAAGCACACAGGGTAGGAAACAGAGCATTAGAATCACATGAAAGCAGAAGAATAATATTGGTCTCAGGAAGGCTAGAATGGGACTAGAGCACAAGAGCCAAGGCTCTGCTCCTGTAAAAGAGACCATAAAACCCCTAAGTGAGAACTCCATCTTTCCAAAAATAAGAAAAAAGGTTTTTCAAAATGAAACATGCTAAAAGCACCAGAATCTCTTCACTCAAATTGTTCAGAGTGTATGATCTCATGTCCTTACATACACACCCCTCAGTAGAGTCATAAGGAAGAGAAATCGCAACATTATGTTTTTATTGCTGCTATTAGCCTTTAAGAACATGAATTGGTTATTAACAATATCATGAAAAACAAATAGTATAGAGGGACAGTGATGATGGGAGAGTATAAAAGATGAGAAAAAAAACTAATCTTTTCTCTACAACACATGAATTGCTTTTTTACTGTCTACTCCATGGACAAATATATTGGGTAACAAGATGTTGGAAACAAAAATGCAAAGAGGTTATCTTTTCACCATGGTGTAAGGCCCAGGAAGGCAGGGATTTTTATCTTGTTTCATAAACTACTATGTCTCCAGCACTTAGTCTCATGCCTGGAATATGGTAAGGATTCAATACATCCATTGAATAAATTTTTGAATATTATCTTATGGAAGAGAAGATGATATCATGATGAAAATATGAACTATCTGTGCTTAATTTCTGGTTCAAGTCCCAAATGTAGGCCTGGTTTGCCTGATGACTTAGAGAAAGTACCATATTTTCTGTGGGGTATTTGATTGTGCTACTCATGCACTTTCCTCTGCCCTGAGCATGAGGAATCTCTCTCTCTCTTTCTTTCCCCTGCATGGGTTCCCATACTGCTATGAAAATCTAGTTCATTAATGACTGCCTCATGGAGACTTTTCACGATTAATCAAATTGGAATCATTATTCTGCCTTACTCTGTGCATTTGCTACAAGGAATAATAATTGGCACGATGGCAACATTAGAAAAACTTTATCTAAATTTACTTAGACTTTCCCTCTGTTCTTCCCCTTGATTGTCATTTCTTCTTATAATATCTCACTATCCATTTCTTTCCTTACTGGCCTGGTCTTTCACAGGGTCTAAGATTTATTAGTGACAATCTTCAACCCCTGCAACCTCCTGCCACTGTTAAAATATCTGTTATATGAAAATTTCTCAATATCTAAGACACATTAAATGAGTAATGAGTAAATGACTCATTCCTGTACTACAGAACTCAAGAGATAGTTGACGCCAGTAGACAGAATACTGATCTGATCATCCTGCGACCTTGTTTCTAGAAGGAGATCTGTCACTAACCAGTTTTGTGAACTTAGGCTACTCAGTCTGCCTATGCTGCTCTTTTCTCAGGTGTAAGAGTGAGAGTTCGTCTAGAACAGTGCTTCTGTACTTCCGTAAGTATGTATGTATGTTCTGTAACACCGGTCCTGGTGTGTCATTCAAAAATATGTTCTGAGATTATATTCACTTCAGAATTGCTATCACCTCCTTGAATATTAGAAAGTTGAAGAATCTGACAAGTCCTGAAATTAATAAACTGTTTTTCTTTACCTAATAATTTTTTTAAAGGCAGAGGTAGCATATTGGTAGTTCCCTAGAGAACCTTATGAGGAAATCACTAGTTGAACTTTCTGAGGAGCTTGGGTGCCATTGCAAATCTCTGTAGCTCTAATGCCAGCTACTATAGGTACAGAGGTGGAATAGGATAAGATTTCTGCTTTTCAGGCATATAGAATCAAATCTGGGGGAGAGACACAAATAAATGTGACATAGTGGCAATTGTAGATTAAGGTCTGTTCAAATAATAATGGGCTTGAGGACTGAGAAGCAAGTAAATCTGCCCAGAGTGGGGGCAGAGGATGAGGAAGGGAAGGCTCCACAGGGATGTTGCAATAGAGAAGTTGGGAAAGGATGTTCCAGGCAGAAGGAACAAGGCATAAAATCCAAAGGTGTGTTCTAGGCCTGGGAAATAATTCTGTGGTTATGGAGCCTAGAAGCGGAAGCCGCCTAGGAAGAAAGTGGAGGGACAAAGTTCTGGGAAGTGGGTGGAGGACTTGTTTGCCATGTGCTGTAAATGCTACCTTAGGGAATCTGTACTTTATCTTGTAGGTAAAAGGAAAATATCCTTAGATTGGGTTTTCATCATTATCATTACCTAATCAATAAGTATTTCTCAAAAAGAATTTTAAAGTGCTAAGGCAGAGAGGAGCTGGGAGAGACTGCCAGGGAAATTAATTCTCATTCTATTGACACAGCTCAAGTAAGAAATGATGAAGGACTGAATAATGAAATGCAAAAGGATGAGATGGAAGAAATAGTGTTGACAGTAATTTAGGAACTACACAGACCAGTAAGAGTGATTGGATAGAAAGAAAGAGGAATACAAAATACCTGTACAAATTCAGCCTGGGAGAGTGTTGTGTGCTTATAACATTAATAAGGGTAGGAATTTCCAGGAGTGAACTGTTTCATATAGGTTCTGAATTGGACTAGGGGATTCTATTACACAGTAATTCTCCTGTACAAACATATCCATTGATTTCTGTGTTACAGAGTTCAAGAGTGATTTAACAAAAGACTATACAAGATTCTTTTTAAGGATTTCAGCATCCACCAAAATATCTATGTCAAACTAAAATTTGGTAGTATTCAATATATTCTTGTCAACAAAGCAGCATTTAAATCTGTAATTTTTTTTAAAAATTTTAGCCTCTAACTGATAAATAATCATTTCTGGGACTATAAATCAATTTTGGTTTTCATTCAATCTGAAATTATTCTTTCAGCCATGGATTATTCTGTATATAGAATATCTCAATAGAAGGTGGTGAAACTATTTCCATTTTCTAGTAGGAAACAGAACACAAACAATTTTAGTGATGGTTTATATATTAAGCCATTATTTTTGGAATTAATCCTAAATTTGGCCTTTAATACTAAATATTATTATTGATAATGGATTAAAATATATTGTATTTGTAGTCAGGGAGTGGGATTGTTTCAAAAACATTGTATGCCAATGAAAATTAGAAATAATATTTCTCTTTTGTAAGGAGTTCATGCTTGCTTATCATGTAAAACTTAGCAAAGATTCTAAAGAGCAATTTTCTTAACAACCTTTTAAAGTAGTGGGTTCTTTTGTTTAGGGGGAGAAGAACTCCCTTTGAGAGGCAAGATGTGGAAACTAACATGACCCAGGCTGTTTACACAAAGCAGTCCACACCTCCCTGATTATGTCAGATAATTTTGCCTTTACCTGAGACAGCTGTCTTCTATTAGCACTGGAAACAAATAGTAAAATCTATGGTCCCTGATCCATGACCACCTTCTCATTTTGAATGTTTTGTCCAAGAGGACCTGGAATCCAGAAACTGAGTTGGTGGGAAAGAGCTGTTGCTAGACATAATTTATCAGAGGAAGGAAAGTACAGTGTCCACCTTGAAAACAAACCAAGCTATCAAAATGACTACGCATTATAAAATGAACACAATGTGGCAGTCAGTGCCACTTTATGATTTCTTTCCCTTTATATCATAAAAAAATAAAGATAAAAAGCAAATGGTCTTATCACCACAGGCAAGGCTGCCTCTCCCTCTGCAATTTCTGCGGAGCATTTATGGCAGCTCTGGAATTGTTTGGAAGTAAATGTAGATGTTTTGGAGGGCAGATACATGTAATGGTTGTTTTACTATTCTGGGTTTCATGATAACAGGTTGCTATGTCTAAGCCTTGATATTTTGCAGATTTCTAAATGCATTTTATTGCATTTAGAAGAAATTTTGTAGTATTGAGAAAATGCAATGCAGAAATGAGTAGATACAATGTCCGCTTAACTCAGAACAAAACCACCTTATTTCCCCGTAGTTGAAATGGAGGGCAGGGAAGTCAGGCAGTGGTTTCTGAAAGCCAAGAACATAGTAGCACTGTGCCATTCTCTCGCCTGATCCAGTGCCACTCCCTTCACTTGATATCTGTTTACTTTGGAGGAGGCAGTTTTTGAGAAAGGATAATAAATATCCTGGCCCAGTGCCCCAAGAGCCATGACAAGCAAAGAAACATACTTGCCTGGAGATAGCCTTTGCGATATTTAAATGTATGGGTTAATTTTTTATCCACTTTAATAACCATTTTATTCCTCCTTCTACTTCTTTGCTTTCTCTTTCCACTCTGAAGCCGTGGGTACAGAATCTCTGCAGGCAAGTTGCTCCAGAGCACATTGCAGGACAAACCTGTAACGAATAGTTACATTCACGGCATCTGGATTCCTAATCCTTTTCCGAAATGGCAGGTGTGAATGGCTGTATAAAATATTCTATGTTTACCTTCAACTTCTTGTTCTGGGTAAGTGTTTTCCTTTTAATTATCAATTTTATGCAAGAAAGGGGATCTTGATATAAATATCGTAAACAAGAACAGACTGTACACTAGAGAAATAGGAGAAGAGAGAAAATATATTTTCCATGTACTTGTTTGGATGTGTTTGTTCTTTCTTTGGTTATTTCAGTAATTGAAAATGAGCCAATGATTCAAAAAAGTGCACTTCAGAATCTGTGAGGATAAACATTTCATAAATGTTTTGATATTGCTGTAAAAACAATCACAAAGAAAAACAAATACCCCTTAACTAAAGGACAATTATTCTTAGTTGTATATCAAGCAGGCCTCCCTAATTTAAGGACTCTGTGGTAAAAACATGGTCTGATTCCATCCGGAGCCTGGGTCCTGATTCCCGCCCTTCACTTCTGGGTTTGGACAGGTGAATCACAGGGTATGGGACAATAAAGATCATTTTCAGAGCCTCAAAGAAAAAAAAAAATGGGTCATGAAAAACTTGAGGGGGAAATGATAAAATTCCTAAATCATAAGAAGATCAAACTAAGGCAGTGGATATATATATATATAGGCATTTTAAAGTCAGTATTTTGATGTGTCATCACCCCACCTTTTAATTGACAGTATTTGTATTTCAGCAATTTGTTATGTTTCTCTTGAAAGTTCATTGACATAGACATAACCAACAAATTGGTAAGTGACATCTGTCATTGGAAAATGGAAAAACAAGGTGTGAAAAGAGCAAGCTGGGATGTTGGGAAATTGACCTTATCATTTTTAGCATATATAGTGCAATTAAAGATTGTTTAAATGTCAATCAGTGGAACTAGCACAAAGTATTTAAATGAAAAAAGTATTTTGTATACTGGATTAAAAGCTAGCTTATCCACTCCAAGGATGAAAGAACTCTGGTTTTGTTTCTTTAGTAGACCTCTGTTTAAGTCTTTAGTAAACAGACATCTCATATCTATGTGTTGCTATATTTCTGTTCTATTAAAATAATGATGAACTTAATTAAACTTAGCTACATGAATACAGCTTTATTGTATAGACTGATTTTCCATTCAATGATCAGTAGTGCTAATGAGTACAAATAGATATATTGGTGAATTTTAAATAACTAAATATTTTAAAAAGTAAAATAAAGAAGGTAAAAAAAAAAAAGGCTGTTTTTAGGTTTAAAAAATGGGCTGCTTTTGCAAATACTAAATGTAGCTCATGCTACATATATGCCAGTCTTTTAGTTAGTTCTGATACATTTCTTCCCTTGAGATATTTAAATTGATTACGCATTGGGAGTAGAATATATAAAAAAAGACCTGTATTCTTTGATTTTGTTTTGTTTCTAGCTTTTTTTTTTATGGAGAACTTTGAATAGTCACAAAAGAAGACAGGATAGGTAATCAACTCCATTGTCCAGCCCCAGTGACCACAGAAAGATGGCCAATCTTTCTCCATTTTTACTCTATTCACTTCCCCCACCCCCTATTATCTTGAAGCACATCTCAGATATATAATTTTGTCTGTAAGCATTTTAGTATATATATCTCTGAAACATAATAATTCTTGAAAAAATGTAACCACAGCCAGGGCACAGTGGCTCATGCCTATAATCCCAGCACTTTGGGCGACCCAGGTGGGTGGATCACAACGTCAGGAGTTTGAGACCAGCCTGGCCAGCATGGTGAAACCCCACCTCTACTAAAAATACAAAAAATTAGCTGGGCATGGTGGCGGGTGCCTGTAGTCCCAGCTACTCGGGAGGCTGAGGCAGAAGAATTGCTTGAACCTGGCAGGGGGAAGTTGCAGTGAGCCGAGACTGCACCACTGCACTCCAGCCTGGGTGACAGAGATTCCATCTCAAAAAAAAAAAAAATGTAACCACAATATCATTATTATGCTTTAAAAACTTAATAAGAATTTTTACAATCAATTGTTAAATTGATTTGACAATTTTAATCAATTTTCAAATTTGAGCCCATTCAGGGCTGAAAATTCCAATTACCTCATAAATGTTCCTGTTAGAATCAGGATCTAAATAAGGTCCACACTTTGTGATTGGTTAATGTGTATTTCATGTCTATTTTAATCAGTTGATTCTCCCCCAGTCAACACCTCTTTTTCTCCCTACTGAAATTTTATGCACTGATGTGTGTTGTTTGTTTTATCACATTGCCCACAGTCTGGATTTTGCTATTTGCATACCTGTGGTGCAGCCTGATACAATTCAAGGTCCTTTTTTTTTTTTTGGCACGACAATCATAAGTGTATTCTTTCATGAGGAGGCACTGGATGTTTGATTGTTTCCTTCTTTTGTGACGTTCATAGCCATTGATGGTCAAGGGCCAAAATCCATCATTAGTTCATTAAGAGGTTCAAAGTGATGACATTCTAGTTTCATCAACTTTTCTTTATTTATTAGCTGGAGCACTTTCTATAAGGAGAAATTTCTCATTTACTGTTTCATTACCTGGGTATCCCGTTTTTAATATTTTTTAAGTGACATAAAATACTTCTTTCTTATTCTTTACTTACCAGATTGCAAGTGATGAGTTAAGTTACTAGTATTATCCAACAGTGATAAGTTAGTATTTCTTTAAGTATCCTTATGAAATGATAGATCAGCTCCATTACAATGTTTACCCTTATTGATGTGCAATTTGTTTGATCTCTGGCCATCAGGAGCTTCTTCCAAGTTGACCGAAGTTCTTTTGAAATGATCCTAATAACTTTGATAACCTCTTTAGTATTGGTTTGACATGTTCCAGATCACTTGCTTATTTCCTGTCCAGACCTGGAATCAGCTATTTCTCCACCAAGTTCTAATATCTGTCTTTAAAGAGCTGTAGTCATTGTTTTCCTTACATAATACAGAATATATATGGCACATGTAAACAAACCAAAATATTAATATGCTAATAAATGCAAGGCTCCTATTTCATTAAAGATGTTCCAAAGCACTCAAACCAGTAGCAATCTTCAAATTATGAAACAGTTAAAATATATCTTTATTGTATTAAAACATCCTGGAAAGTGCTAATAGCTATTATGAAGACATCAGAGGTCAGTGTTTCATTAAACAGCTAATCAGAAATTTGAAATGGGTCTGAATTATCAAAATAACAGTCTAGAAAGGGGTAGGTTATAGATTCAGAATTATTTACCTACCTACCTTGATAGGGTTTAAGGTAGATTGTAGAGGTCTGTACCATGCCACACACACCCAGATATTATCATTGCTTTCCTGGAGCGTTCTTCTTCTTCTTCTTATTATTATTATTATTTTGAGAAGTCTCCCTCTGTCACCCAGGCTGGATGGAGTACAGTGGCATGATCTCGGGTTACTGCAGCCTCTGCTTCTCAGGTTCTAGCAGTTCTCCTGCCTCAGCTTCCCGAGTAGCTGGGATTACAGGCATGTGCCACCATGACTGGCTAATTTTTTTGAATATTTAGTAGAGTAGAGAAGGGGTTTCACCATGTTTGCCAGGCTGATCTCGAACTCCTGACCTCAGGTGATCCACCCACTTCCACCTCCCAAAGTGCTGGGATTACAGAGATGAGCCACCGTGCCTGACCGGAGCTCTGATTATTTTATGGTTACATTATCTGTTTGTTTCCTTGATAACAGAGACAAGTCTTTCTGATGCTGTAGATTTCAGTTAGACCTTTCTAACTAATGTCCCTTGGCGATTCCTACCACCAGCATATGTGGTGGGATTTACAATCTCTACATAAGAGATTTTGAAATGGAGTCTTTCAGTGAGAGCAACAGTTGTAAAAACCAGTGATAATTTCTTAGCCAAGAAGTGACATCAATATTTTAAATTCAAATATAGGCAGCAGGAGGAATCTCTGAGGTTAGGGAAGGTTCCTATATCTACTGTCCCTTCTATGCTCAGCTCTGAGCTCTCAGTTGGAATTTTACAATCCTTCATAGGAAATTAGCAATTTGTCACATTCCTAATGCTTGCTTAAGTAAAAATTTTAATGACCCCACTGATGTGGTTTTCTTATAGATGCCCAGGGCCTTATGTTTTCAAATGCGTTCTTTCTGGTATAACTTGCAAAACTGAGCCTTTGCAAAGTAGAGCCAGATGTTAAAATATCTCTTAGATTTGCATGTGATCATTTAAACAGACCAGGTTCTTTTGGGGGACAACTTGAGATATACCACATAAGTATATGGTGATTTCCATTTGTTAGAATTACTAATTGAAGAAAAACATGTAAAAGTGAAAGTTATTCCTGATGACTCATGCTAGAGTTGGATGCAAGTTAGAGAACTGGAGGTGCTAGAGATAATAGATAAATTATAGGTACAAAACCTAGTTCCCTGAGTCTTGTTTCAAAAATAGATGAAATGCCCCAATTTTTTAATGCTCCTCTCAGATAGTTCAAGCCTAGGAATATTGTAGATGCTTATGGTGCCTTAGGGGTCTGAGTAAGTATGAAACATGGGGCCTTTGGCTGGTGGATGCAATGGAATAATGGCTAGAGAGAGAGCTATGGAAAGGCCAGTTCTTAATGAGGGAAAGAAGGATGAGGTACATTATCAATCTCAAATGAGTCATAGGGAGGAGCCAAATTGTAAAGCTGAATGTATTAGTAACTGAAGGAAGCCACTGCACAAGGAGGTTTGAAGAAAGCAGAAAGAAGTCGGAACTTGTAGAGAGTCCGGGATCCAGTGTTTCAATATTCATCATTTTATTTTATTGAGATTGGATGTGCTGAGAGCAATTAAAAGATTGGAGGCAAAGCAGACATAACCCTGAGATGGTGGTACACTGAAAAGAATAGGACACAATTATATTTTATTGTGTCCGTTGATGGAATCTTTCAAGATGAAGACCTAACAATGGCTGAAGTGTATGAATTTTGTAAATACAGTGGTTGCCTGACCCTATGTAATTAGCATGGAACTAAAACAGCAACAAAAGGCATTAGAGTCCACTGGTTGATAGAGCAGGCTGAACATCAGCTCCTTCATCAGTAGCTGTGCTTCTCTGGGG